GTCTGTTTGCCGACATGTGCCACAGAACGCTGGTCCTGGATGGCGACTGCTGCTGTTACACCCCAGGTGTTTGGCTTTCACATTTGCACTTGCATTTCATAAACATGAGCATCATTCATCCATTCATGAGCTTAGATTGTATGAAACATGCTTTTGAAACATTACAACATATGTTTATATTCCATGTGTGTTTGTTTTATGAAATGAATAGTGTGCAACACTCAAGTGCAACATGTGTAACTCACTTTAGTGAAATATGGTTAGTTCATACTATGCAACAAGATCATGAAACATGTGAAACATGACTATGAAACAGATGTAACATTTCATGTGTTTTTCATTGTTTCAGTACATGCAATGCTTGATTCTTGTGTGACCAATGTGTGGTGTAGCTAATGATTCTCTTAAACAACTTAGTGACACTTAGAATGTCATTTGGAACATTGTTCATGTTGATCATTTTGACTAATTAGGTTCCCAAGTCATGGTTTGACCAATTTTGACCCCTAAACCCTTTTGTTTGACTGTTTAAAAAGTGTAGCTTAGGATGTTTGCATGTCTGAGCAACCTAAAGCAAAGTTGTAGAAAATTTTATAAGGAACAAACTTTGTTTAGAAGCCAAGTCATGGAAATGTGCACAACATGCTCAAAAGGATCCCACAAGTCAGTTTTGAGATCTATTTTGAAACTCTGAAAATTTTCTAAGTCACTAAGCAAGTTTCAGTTCCATGTACTGATGTTTAGCGCAATGTATCTAACTAACCAAACCAAACCAGCTCGATCTCCAATTGTAAGAATTGTAGTTCACATGTAGACGTTCAACTTTGTTAATTACACCTTGAGCTATATCATCACGGATTAGGAGATAATCACCGTCAAAGTTCGCCTGTCAGTCGGCACCATTGAGCACTAAAACAAAAAATTCAGACAGCTACAGTGACCTGACCGGTTTAGTGTTTCACCACCGCGTGGCGCCGCGCGTCGCTGACGGCCTGACAGGCCAGGCCACGTCGGGCCTGAGCTCGGCAGTTGAAGCCTCCACGTGAGTCCGTGAGCCCCCACCAGCGCCACATTTTCCTTCTTGCTTCCTTTGCTTCCTCCGCTCGCCTGCAGCGCCGAAGCAGCAACGCAGCGGTTCCGTCGTCGCCATAGCCAGCGCAAGCTCATGCCTCATCGCCCATTCACTACCGCCTTAGCTCCTACGCGTTTCCACCGTCGTGTCGCGCCCTAAGTTGCTTGCTAGCCGCGCTCGGTAAGCTCCCACGCCGCGCGCACCCTCGCCGGACTTTCGCCGCCGTAGCCCGTCACCGTGGCCGGCCCATCTCCGACCACCGCGGGTCCTGCTTGGGGTTGCGCTAGAGTCACATTGGGATGGGGAACCTCGGCATATCCCGTGATTGCGCTATTTTGGTCGCCGTCGATGTCTCACCGTCGAGCCGAACCACCGCACCGCCATGGCCGCCGCCGCCGTCTTGGTCACCGGCAATAGGCCAAGCTAAGTAGGTCTATAGACGCGGGAGGTCGAGGTGAACGCATTGGTACCGTCGCCGTCGCCGGGGATGCCGTCGTCGGCGAGCTCCACCGGTCAGCGTCGCGCTTAGCGTCGTGCTCTGCTTCGCTGTCGCTGACAAGCGGACCCGGCTGACATGTGGACCCCGCTTGTCAGTGACTAAGTATTAGAAGCTAGTTCAAATATTTCCAGTTTTGAATGCTGTTTTGTGAATTTTGTAACTCCAAATGTGTAGATCCAAATGATGTGATTCAAATTTTGTTAGACTCACAGTGAGGTCTAGTATTTAAGAAAAATATGTCTTGAGCACATTATGTAGAAATTTTGGATGAATTAAATAGGAACTTGAAAGTGTTTTTGAATGCATGCAAACTTGTTTAAATCATATCTTGAGTTTCTGTGATCCAAAAATTGTGAAATTTTGTGGGTTAGCTAGTATTGCTTAGTAGAAGCTCTGGTTAAAATTTGAGAGTCATTGCATGCGTAGTTTTTGAGTTATAGATTTTCCTTTTATCATTGGTGGATACTTGTGTGAATTTTTGTAAATTATCTAGGAATCCTATGGCCATGAAACTTGGTAGGTAGTATCTTAGTACCTTAAGGATGCTAAGAAAAATATAAAATCTGTTACTTGACATTTTTCATTAGGGTTTCCTAATTATGCTATTTTAAGTCATTATGCCTTATCATTTTTGTGTAGGCTGTTATACTTGCTCAAATGGTGTGAAATTTTTATGGTAGTCTACTTAGAGCATGTAGTATCTACTGTAATTTTTGTAGATTTAATGGTGTAGTTTTCATATATGTTTGTCATTTCCTCTAATTAATTAAATAAATTAAGAAAGGTATTAAAAGAAATATTTTGGTGATGAACACCCTACTTTCTGGAGTTCTTGTGATATGAGTGATATGTGAGTAGAGTTAGTTTTGTCCAATTATATGTTTACATCATAAGTTATTAATTATTTTGTTTGCATTATGTCCCTCTGGATAGATCTGGGGACTTTAGGAAGTTCCCCATGATATTTTGGTTTTCTGTGAATGTGATGAACACAAGAGTTGTAGATAATTTATGTATCTAGCTCCTGTCAAAATTTGAGGGTATTTGGCCCAGTAGTTTAGAAACTACAGCTGTTTAAAGTTAGGTTCCAGTTTTGCTTACTCTCTGCCTTGTGAGGACAGAGTTCTGTTGATTAAAGAATTCGACTTGGTAAAGTGTTGAATCATGCTTAGAGGTCTAAAAATGAATTGTAGACAATTTCATAAGCTTTCCAAATTGTCTTGTTGCATGTCATTTGGATTTATAAATCTCCAGTTATGGCTAGTTTACTGTACCGCTACATAGTCTTCATTTTGCTGAAATACAAATGCTTGAGTGTATGTTGTTGCAATGTTCTCGTTGATTGTTTAGGGGTTAGCCTAACTTGAGAATATGCTTAGGTGCAGGTGCTAGGTCATTAACTGAAGATGAGCAATTATATATTAGGTTGTATAAACTTGGTAAGTAAAGTGATTTGAATAGGGCTTAAGTTGGAATATGCAGACTACACAGCAAACATGTGCATTCCCCAAGCATCCCTGACATTCGTTCATGTGCATCCATGATATTTATCTTACGCATTCATGCAATAGGTGTGCTGGAGGGAGTGACATTGCTGGAGTTCGAGGGAGCGAGCCAGGAGGAGGAGCCCGAGGTGCAGGCAATCGAAGAAGCAGCCGCCATGGAGGAATTGCCCGAGTGCCCTGACCACCGTCCATCCTCTTTCCTGAAAGGCAAGCCCCGGAGCATTATAAGTCTCCCATGTCTTTGCAAATATATTGAGTATCTTTTATTGTTGATGCTGCATTAAGTATAGGAATTTGTTGAAACCAATTGCTGCATTATATATCTATCCTTGTCTAGATATTGCACTTGAATCCTATTTAAGTTCAGGAATAGGTTAAATGCTTAGCCATGCTTAGTGCGGTAGAAGTCGGGTGATTTCCTATCACCTGCGAGCTTTAGGATGAGGTGGATCACGGTTGGCTATATTTGCTATCGTTGAAAAGAACCATGTTAATAATGAATGAAGACCGGGCGGAGTCTTGTGTATGGTTGGACATAGTGACTCCGTCTGTGTCATTTAAGGACCGATACGCTGTATGTCCTCAGGTCATGTTGAACGCAGCCTAACACTTAGCTGGCCGGATAAGTCGTTTCGACCGCGAAGCCGAGTAGCTCAACTCAGGCCAGGAACTGTGGGGGTTGGATGCATTCTGGAGGTAGTAAGGATGTGCGGAGAGCCATTGACATAAGTCCAAGGGGAGTCAGGGCTTAAAATCTTGCACTTCTGGCAGAGTGGTTCTCTAGAGAATGTAGGGCGGCCCGAACCCGCGTCTTTTCTTTTATTTTTCTTCTGAGTTGTACCAAAGGTGACTTGTTTGCGACCCTGACGGGGGAAGCAGGGTTTGTGTTAGGAATACCCCTCCAGCTGGATAGGAATCGATTCGAATCGCCGTCTCTCCCGGATAGTGAGAACTTGACTTGAGCAGCGGCAACGTAGATTCACTTAATTTAACGATATGGTTAAATGGAAGATGATGATGATGGATAATGTTGCCACGATTTATACCTGCTATGGTTAATAATGTTTGCATATTAATCAAGTGATTGCTTAGTACATGTGCTAATATAGATGACAGGTTAATGGCTTAAAGTCACTGCTAGTTCAGGTTAAAAGTTAATCATTATTACTTATGCTTTTCCGCAAAAAGGAAGTGTTAGCCAGACCCACTAAATAAAGCTATGCATGATCCTTGATGTCATTTATTTTGGTTTCCGACGGGTAAGTCTAGCTGAGTACATTCCCGTACTCAGGGTTTATTCCCTCTTGTTACAGATGACCTTCTATATCAGGGCTTCTGTAAGTATTGTCTCCACCCGGCGGGTGACGAAGACTAGATCATGGGCATGATCTCTTGTTATCTCATCTGAATGCTTTTGTTGGATGTGATCGGCAAACTGGTACTGGTATTTGAACTCATGTGTGTGAGTTAAACTATTTGCTTCTGCTACTTTACAAGACTTGGTTTGTAATAACAATGACTCTGATGGGTTGTAATCTATCTGCAAACTGTTTATGAAATGTTGTAACGTGTGAGATGTTATATTGAATTACTGTGATCTTGGTTGTATGCAAGTTGGTTTGAAATCCTTCGTGGTTTCAGTTGACTACCGGGTTTATATGGGCTCAAGTGCGAGAATTTAATCGTTTCGGCGATTGTTTTTATACTTATGCTCTTATAAATTGGTCGGTTATGTGACAGCTCCCATGTCATTGTGGCTGTGCTGCGGTCATGTACTCGTGTGGGCGAACTACGTCTCGGTGAGCAGGTACACGCTCTCGTCATCAAGAAGGGCAGGATCCGCGGTGACATTGGTAGCTCACTAGTGCAGCTGTACTGTGAGAGCGGTGGTCTTCACAGAAGCGCATGGCGAGTTCTCGTGACGATGATGCAGCACCATTGTCAGGAACCAATCCCTGAGGGGGCCTGGACGAACCTGATCACGTCCTGCCACCGAGACGGCCTGCTGAACGAGGCCATCGACGTCTTCAGGGACATAGCGTCCTTGGGCGTTCTGAGGAGCAGCTTCTCCCTGTCGAGCATCCTAGCCGTGTTCGCGGAGTCACAAAACCAAAGGTGCAGTGGGCAGCAGGTGCACGCCGACGCCATCAAGCGTGGCGTGGACACGAACCAGTTCGTTGGCTCTGGGCTGTTACACATGTACGCGAAGCAAGGGCAGCTGGCAGATGCCGCCAGGGCGTTCGAGGCAATCAGTGGCAAGCCTGACACCGCCTGCTGGAGCGCCCTGGCCATGGCGTATGCTCACGGCGGACGGTACAGAGAGGCCACCCGAGTCATGTACCAGATGAAAGCTGCCGGGATGAATCCTTCTCAAGAGATGGCCGATGCGGTCAGGTTGGCCTGTTTCAGATGATCGTGAACTACTACTCTACTAGTACCATTGAGTGAGTTACTTTGATTGTACAATTGTGTTAATCAGACGCCAGCGCACTGCGCACCTGTGTCTGATAGTTGACGGCGTCTCCATGCTTTTTTTTTAGCCGAACCCAACAACCGCACTCGAGTAGTATTTGTGTGTGACAATGTTGCGGTTACACTGTACAGTATTTGTCTGTAGAAAAAAAATAGCTGCGCTGCCACAAAACCCTGTAGGGATAGCAGTTGTAAATTCTTTGAGTTACTGTAACTAAGGCCATGTTTGTTTTAGCTCACAGTTTGTTATTACACTATTCTAGCTTAAATACACACAGCAATTTGTCTCCCCAAATGCTATCTCACAATATGCAAGCTAAAACACAAGCTCAAGAGGAGGCGAGAGGATCCTCTAACGTGTCCCCAATCACCTAACTGCCCAGACAATCCGACCAATAGTGATCAGTTCGGTATACTTTTTGGGTGCATATTTGAATGTACCATTTTCCTTTTTTTAGTGTCATAAACCTGTCATTTGGTAATGTTGATCAAAATGTGGCTTAGGGTTTCGCAGATGAAGTATACCATTGCAGCAGCAGGGAAATTTAATCGTCATACTATTATTATTAGCCATTTGAACTCATGAGGACATCTCCTGTAAACCGATATCTCTGTGCAGTCTTGCAGATTCGTTTAATCCACAGCACGTTGCTTACACGTGAACTTTTCATAATATCATCAGTACAGAAACCACGTCCAAGTCCAACAGATACCCGTGAGTCCGTGACCAGTCTCATCGACAAAAGCAATTCATTTAATCTACATGTTACTTACACCGCATATTTCCGCTTACACCTCATATTTCTGCTTACGCCTCCAACTCATCCGTCAGCTTGGCTCATCTTTAACCCACACGGAAAAAACATGAGCATGCCACTCAAATGCATGAACAATGAAACAAAACCGACAAGAGACATTTCTATGTACACCGTAATCTATGATCAGCTCAACAGCGCTACCGCCCATTTACACCATGAGTATACACCGCAACATGTCATTGTTCTCTTACATTAGGAATCGCAGGGACCTGATCAGGATAATCAGATAACTCTACGTTGAGGAAGCTTGAGAGGTCATATGGTTCCACGGAAGCAGCGGTGTTGGCTTCCATGACTTGGGAGGGCATTGTTTCTGCCTGATCAGCCTCATTCAGCAATAAACTTGACATCCCTGGATCCTTCGAGCTCACAACAGTGACTTCCGCCAGCTCTACTAGGTGCTCTCCGGTTGGCACGATAGTGCTAGGGCTGTATTTTGTTGGTTCATGCTCCCCCTCGTTACTGTAGAGGACATACTCATGATATGTAGGTGCAAACTGCAATGTGGGAGAAAACAGTTAGCTGATACAAAAGTTGAAATTGAAACTGCACTCTAGAAATTGGGATACAGGGAGATCATGCATATGGTTCGCAACTGAGAGGAGGATGAGCTGTGAAGAGAATGATTGCTAATTTACCTGGTGTACAGAGTCATGATAGAAGTCATTGAATTTCATCGCGTGAAGAAGTTGTCGCGGAGGCCGCGTCAGCCACCTGCGTGCGCAGGTAGGACGTGGCTCTCCTGGAGGCGGCCCGCGGTGGCGTGGCCGCGCGCACGCACAGCAGAGGCGGCGGCGGCCCGACTCCGGCGATCTCCGACTCGGCCAAGGTGCGCCAGGCGGAGAGGAGGAATAGGCGATGGCAGTGGTGGTGGCGGCTTGGCCGGGCGAAGCCGGCAGTGGCCCGGCCACGCGCGCGGTGGCCGCGGGAGCTTCCCTGGCCATGGCGACCCTGGCGCACGGCAAGAACGAGGGGGGGGGGGAGTGCAGGAGCTCGGCAGGTTGGGAGTGGAGGAGCGCAAGGCTCGACCCCGCGGACATGCCGTGTGCTTGTGAGCAGCAGAGCAAGGGAGAGACCCAGGAGAGGGAGAGCGAGGCAGAGAGGGAAGTAGGCAGCAGTGGCTCAGTCCTCTCGCACGCGTCGGACAGGGGCGAGGTAGGTGAGATGAGTGGCGGAGAGTGAGCGCTGCAGTGACCGAACGGCAACGGACAAGGGCACCTCCCTGTACGCGCGCGCGGACGGCATTACGATCGACAGCAGCTCGCGCCCGGCGGAGAGCGGCTACGACCATGCCAGGCCCTGTGGCAGCGGCGGCCGAGGGGAGTGTTGAGGCCATCGGCCAGCAGTAGGCGCCGCAGCCAGGGCTAGCCAAGGCACAGCCACACCGAGGGCAGCTCCCGCCAGCCTGTGGCCTCGCGCGCGCCAACACGGTGACCGCGCACTCCCGGCCGAACAGTCCGACAGGGAGCTACGCACGAGTTTTAAAGCGAACGAAAAACTGTCAACGATCATGTATGAGGCTCAATCAACTCTCCTATCCCGAGGCCCGTAGTACCAACATTCCAAAGAAACGATCGGCACGTGAACAGGATAACCAGAAGGGGAGATAGAAGCATGCCGATCTGGGTTCGTCGCGCTGAACGCTGGTTCGTGAACGAGCACCAGATTATAATTCGTAGTGCATTCTTAGCGAAGTTCGAACAATTTTTATGAGAGTATCGCAACACCTAACACGACTATAACCTACACTATGCTCAAGTGCTCACCTTGGAGCAACCAATAATGCTCCAACATATAAAAATTGCTTAATCATTTTTGTTGGAATTTAAATGTCGAAATGGCATCGTCGATTGTCGTTACAGACAGAAAGAACAAGTCCCGCTTGAACTAAACAACCGTTAACACCTTTGATTGAATTTTTAAAAGGTCGGAACTTCGTCAATTTCAACTAGACAACATGTCATGACCTAGTTCATACTTCGTACTAACTCGTGGGAACAAAATATTAAAGCACTATTTAAGTATTTTGCACACTATAATTCTTCAAAAATGGCACTTTCTAATTATAAGCTATATCACATTTTCATTTACAGAAACCGTTTTTCATGCTGAACATCTAAAACAACTTATCATATTTTCTTATTAGAATTTATAAACATGTTTACACATTAATTGAACTAACACGCAATATCCCGTTCGCTTCTCTTCTCATAAAAATGAGACCAACAATTTAATTATCCTTTCTTGTGAGTTTTAAATTTTTTAACACCCGAAAACTTGTTTTGTTAATTTTTTAGGCTTTAATCTAAGCACTAAGCAAGATCGTAACACTAGAGGTGTTACAACCAACCCCCTAAAAAGAATCTCGTCCCGAGATTCGGAGCAAGAACCAAAAAGGAAACAACACGATTACTTTTCGTTGATCAGAAATTATACTAACGATTACACGACTTCGAACGCTAAACCACACAAGGATTTAGAGATACATGATTAAGAGCAACCTAGTACAACTAAGGTTTAATCCAGAAGTCGAGATAGACGAGGGCAATGGAAAAAAATCAAGAAAATGATTATCCAAAACATAGCGTATGTCCAACAGATCCAAAAACAGGAGACCGAAAAGTCAAACATCATGAACCCTAAGACCAGACTAACCAAAGGGACTTGAACTTCTTCGAAAACCAGATCCCTTCTTCTTCTCAGATTACATAATCACCTCTGACTGACGAACCTAGTTCCACAATGACGACTGGAACTCGTAGCTCTGCTTCGAATTCGAGAGGAATGGGGATGAAGGAGGAGAACAAGGGCATCTTATATTGGTGAACGGGGATGGGGCGCAGTGCACCAAAAGTGGATGCGGCGGGGATGGGAGGCACTGACGGCTCACGCAGTAGGGCTAAAGTCGGCTATGGGGCGCTCCCTACGCGAGCGAGCGGAGGGAGGATAAGAGAGTGGGGAAGGGATTCGCTCGGCGGGGAAAACGTGCGGGCGATCGTGTCCCCAGAAGAAGCAAAAGGAGGGGGAAAGGTCCGGTACGGGGACGAGGGCGTGGGATCGAGAACTAACAAGAGAAGCGAACAGTATACGAGGACGGCGAGTACAACACGATGTCGCGGCCACACGAGAACAGGGTGCTAATGGGCCCGACACAGATGGCGTCCACGGGGCACGCGGTGACAGCGACCCGACGTGCGTAGCGAGGGCGAGCTGGGCCTAGTGCTTGGGACTTGACATCCGCTCAGACTTTTCCAAGCACTCCCTACTACCCGAGGCTAATTTTTTCCTTGTTGCTCTTCTTTTTCATCCGTTCCTTGTTAACCATATGCGCCAACCTTTTGTATGAACTGAGACCGCGATATACGTGCTTTCTCCAAAACCACGTTCTATTGTTTACTTTGAGAGAATACTATTGCATCAACCCGTTGTGGATTTCCCGTTTGAAACACTCGAATATTTCTAAGAAGAATATTTGTATAAAAAATGGTATGTCAGTGTAACATGGTAAATGTATTTGGTCAACAACCTCGATACCAGCGCGTGTCGAGCAGCGTCACCATGTGGCAGCTGTTCCACAGGGGCTCTCGGTTTCGTCGCGGCACCATAAGCTATTAACCAGGCAACTATTACCAATTTACACGCAACGAAGACGGTGGGGTCATAGACCACAGAATCAGGAGTACTGCAAGGGAAGATTCAAACAACAAGGGTTACTTTCGCAACAAGGGACAAGAAATTCAAATCCAACACGGATTTGATTTAAAAAGATTCAAGTGTTCTGCTGGGACATCCACAATTAGCCGATACAATATCCTATGTTATCTACTCACGGCTGGTCTGTTGGCATCTGAATTGTAACTTCTCTTGTAACCCACTTAACATCGCCCTTGAAAATCCTAAGCACGTCTAACGAGACTTAAGGGTAGATGAACACAATAAGCACAGCGAAATAAATAAAATACACATTCCGAATGTCCTTACGCTGGTACAACATACAGGCACTCACTCTCCCATTCTCAGCACATCGTTCACCTTCCCTACGATCGGATGACCTCAGCAACTACGGCGAAATACAATGGAAGGATTACAATACTAGAGGACAATGACAAAAGACACTACTAAC